TCTATTTTCTTTCTAGTTCTTATCTTGTTTATTTCCTCTTATCTCCATGGGGAAGTGGAACAGAATTCTTCCTCCGTAAGCCATGCGTGTTGTAAGAGGCAACTAAAATGCCGGGAGAAAGGGGGCTAGTAACCCTTCTCCTGTATATATTACTAAATGTAAATGGAGAAACTTTCGTTTTTCCTTTTGGGCCACCCCGCCTCGGTGGATACAGCCGGTGTGTTGAAAGAAGAAGAGATCTCACCTGAACTTTTTCCTCCCTTAGTTTATACACTTTCACCTCTCTCTGCTTGTTGTTGCCATTTTCCTCTTGTCCCATCTACCTCTTACTCTAACTGTAGCTACAACTAAATAATGATCCAATATTTTAAATTTTGCTCTCTATAAACATGTACATCCTGGAGCCTACCCATCAACCTTTTATCCACCAATACATAATCTAACCACCTACTTTCATTACGTGCTATACCATACCTTTTTATATTTATTTATCCTCTTTTTCATAAAATATGTATTACTTATTACCAAGCCTCTTTCTACACACAGTTCTATTTAGAGGCTCCCCATTTTCATTTACCCCTGGCACCCCAAATTTACCTACTACTCCCTCCAAAATTTTTTTTTTTTACCACTTTAGCATTGAAATCCCCCAACCACAAGTACTCTCACATTTAGTTCAAAACGCCCCACGCATTCACTCAACATTTCCCAAAATCTCTCTCTCTCCTCTAGACTTCTCTCTTCTCCAGGTGCATATACACTTACTATAACCCACTTTTCACCCAACCTTTAACCCTTAAACCGTCCAAACGTAGATCTACTTTCACTCACGTGGTGCTCCGATATTTTTAAAAATAAAAAAAATAATTTTTTTTCTTTAAAAATGAAGAGCACATTTTTCTACATGTTATAGGATGAAAAAAAAAAACATTTAGGGTCATATTTTCCAAGATATAAGACCGTGAAGTTGGCTCTGGATGGTCACCTGTCGGCAATATTGACTCCTGCCACTTGCAGAAGTGTTGCTGATATACCTGTTTTTCTCGTTCTTATTTTAATTTAGATATTTCTTATGTTCTGATAATTACAATTTATAATAGTTCTTGTAACTTCATAGCCAGTCTTTGTTCTGACACTAATAATAAGTACTGAAATAGTGTCCAAATAGTCACAATCACATTAACAGGTGAACATTTACACTTGCCTTGGTTATTTACTATTGTCTAGAAATATATACAAAGTATTTATAGGTCTCAGCAATGTTTTAGATGCCCTGGGGTATACCTTGAAGCATGATGTTATGAAAGGCATCCTTATACTGTTGACAGCCTAGTGACATTTGATAAATGCCCACTGCTCCACTAACCCTTCTTATATTTGTTATCACTGTTACACACAAACATGTCTAGTCTCTCTGTCTATTTATCTGTCTGTCAGTCTATCTATCTTTCCATCTGCCTGTCTGTCTATTTGCCTGTGTCTGTCTGCCTGTTTGTCTCTGTCTATCTGCCTGCCTGTCTGTCTGTCTCTGCTTATCTGTCTTTCTGTCTGCCTGGAGTATACGTATATCACACTCCTTGAAGAATCGTGTTATGACATCTGTTATCAGCTCGGTGACATTTGATAAATAGGTGCTTGAGGAACCCTGGCTTTATTTGTTTTCACTGATGCACACAAACATGTTTCTGTCTATCTGTCTGTCGGTCTATCTATGCCTGGAATTTTGGGGTTATCCTAGGTAATTTATACTATGTATAATAACTACTTATGTGTACATGTAAGACAGAGATATAGATAGACAGAGATATAGACAGAATTGGCACAGTTACTTTTTGCTGATGATACTGTGCTTATGGGAGATTCTAAAGAAAAATTGCAAAGGTTAGTGGATGAGTTTGGGAATGTGTGTAAAGGTAGAAAGCTGAAAGTGAACATAGAAAAGAGTAAGGTGATGAGGGTTCAAATGATTTAGATAAAGAAAAATTGGATATCAAATTGGGGAGGAGGAGTATGGAAGAAGTGAATGTTTTCAGATACTTGGGAGTTGATGTGTCGGCGGATGGATTTATGAAGGATGAGGTTAATCATAGAATTGATGAGGGAAAAAAGGTGAGGTGGTGCGTTGAGGTATATGTGGAGTCAAAAAACGTTATCTATGGAGGCAAAGAAGGGAATGTATGAAAGTATAGTAGTACCAATACTTTTATATGGGTGTGAAGCTTGGGTGGTAAATGCAGCAGCGAGGAGACGGTTGGAGGCAGTGGAGATGTCCTGTTTAAGGGCAATGTGTGGTGTAAATATTATGCAGAAAATTCAGAGTGTGGAAATTAGGAGAAGGTGTGGAGTTAATAAAAGTATTAGTCAGAGGGCAGAAGAGGGGTTGTTGAGTGGTTTGGTCATTTAGAGAGAATGGATCAAAGTAGAATGACATGGAAAGCATATAAATCTATAGGGGAAGGAAGGCGGGGTAGGGGTCGTCCTCGAAAGGGTTGGAGAGAGGGGGTAAAGGAGGTTTTGTGGGCGAGGGGCTTGGACTTCCAGCAAGTGTGCGTGAGCGTGTTAGATAGGAGTGAATGGAGACGAATGGTACTTTTGGGACCTGACGATCTGTTTTGGGGTGTGAGCAGGGTAAAAATTAGTGAAGGGATTCAGGGAAACCGGTTATTTTCATATAGTCGGACTTGAGTCCTGGAAATGGGAAGTACAATGCCTGCACTTTAAAGGAGGGGTTTGGGATATTGGCAGTTTGGAGGGATATGTTGTGTATCTTTATATGTGTATGCTTCTAGACTGTTGTATTCTGAGCACCTCTGCAAAAACAGTGATAATGTGTGAGTGTGGTGAAAGTGTTGAATGATGATGAAAGTATTTTCTTTTTGGGGATTTTCTTTCTTTTTTGGGTCACCCTGCCTCGGTGGGAGACGGCCGACTTGTTGAAAAAAAAAAAAAAAATAGACAGATAGAGATATAGACAGAGAAACAGCCAGAGACAGCCAAAGCAAGCCAGCCGGCCAGCCTGCCGAATACATAAGAACATAAGAAAGAAGGAACACTGCAGCAGGCCTACTGGCCCATGCAAGGCAGGTACATGTCAACCTCCCCCCCCCCTGGCTTAGACCCAATGACCCAACTAGTCAGGTCACATTCATTGAAGGAAGGAGCACGACAAACAGACCTAGTAGCACAAGCTAGTCAGGTCCAACTCACACGCACCCACACTCACTCATGTATTTATCTAACCTGTTTTTACTTTCGTCTTAAAATGGGTGTGTTAATGCAACATGGCATCAGTGAATCCCTGGTATTTGCCATGCTATTTGCTGTAGCTGGTGCTCAATTGAACTGGTGATCCCACAAGGTACTAGGTGCCCCCAAATTTTTTTAATAGTGTGCACACTAAGTGCACAGACCCATTCTTTCATGTCAAGGTGACTCAAGCCTATTGTGCCAAATTTGAAGGAATGAAAAATAAAATGATGATCTATGTTTGGAGCGCTACATGTGCAAATGTAGATCTACATTTGGGCAGTTTAAGGGTTAATTTATTCCACATAATCCTTGAATTAATACATTTATACTCTCTCTTTTCCTGTCATAGCTTATCCTTCAACATTATTGCTACCCCTTCTTTAGCTCTAACTCTATTTGAAACCTCTGACCTAATCCCATTTATTCCTCTCCACTGAAACTCTCCCACCCCCTTCATCTTTGTTTCACTTAAAGCCAGGACATCCAGCTTCTTCTCATTCATAACATCCACAATCACCTCTTTCTTATCATTCGCACAATATCCACACACATTCAGACTTCCCACTTTGACAATTTTCTTCTTCTTATTCTTTTTAGTAATCATTACAGGAAAAGGGGTTACTAGCCCATTGTTTCCGGTATTTTAGTTGACTTTTACAACACGTATGGCTTACGGAGGAAAGATTCTTATTCCACTTCCCCATGGATATAAAAGGAAAAGTAATAAGAACAAGAACTAATAAGATAAAATCAAAGAAAACTCAGATGAGTGTGTATAAATAAACATGTACATGTATGTGTAGTGTAACCTAAGTGTAAGTAGAAGTAGCAAGACGGTACCTGTAATCTTGCATATTTATGAGACAGACAAAAGACACCAGCAATCCTAACATCATGTAAAACAATTACAGGCTTTTGTTTTACACTCACTTGGCAGGATGGTAGTACCTCCCTGGGTGGTTGCTGTCTACCAACTTACTATCCATATATCCTCTGAAAACGATGCAGTAGAAAAAATAAACTGCAAAAAGAATAAGGTATGCATGCTGAGGATATGTAATAAATAAATTAGGTAACTCACAATTCCTTACACTGCACCACCAGAAAAATAATTACATAACAGAAAAAAAAAGAAAAAATGGTGGTTAAAAAAACAAAAGCACTAACCCAAGATGAAGTCATGATGAAGAAAGCCGAGGCCGAGGGCACTACAAACACCCACAGACCTGTCCGATCATACTCTACTCCCAGTGCAACAATCTGCAATCATAAAAAAAATTATAGTTTTGCCCAATTCAGTGAATGGATCACAGTATCCTAAAGTGAGCCAGTGAACACTATAGACATGGAAACAACAATCAAACACTGTACTACACTAAATGTAGATCCTGTGTGAGTGAAGGTTTCACCAGTGACTGCAGATCCTGTGTGAGTGGAGGTTCCACCAGCAACTGCCAGTACTGTGTGAGTAGAGGTTCCACCAGCAACTGCCAGTACTGTGTGAGTGGAGGTTCCACCAATGACTGCCAGTACTGCATGAGTGGAGATTCCACCAGTGAGCGCCAGAACTATGTGAGTGGAGGTTCCACCAGTGACAGCCAGTACGGTGTGAGTGGAGATTCCACGAGTGACTGCTAGTACTGTATGAGTGGAGGTTCCACCAGTGACTGATAGTACTGCATGAGTGGAGGTTCCACCGGTGACTGAGACCTTAAAAATTGGAGGTTCCACCAGTGCTCCCAGAAACTGGGGAGTGGGGGTTTTTCCCCCCATTGATTGCTGGTACTGCTAAATGGGGGTTTCCCCCAACCCCATGACTGGGAAACCCCCTGTGAGTGGGGGTTTTCCAAACCAAAGGGGACTCCCAAGTACTGGAGGTGGGGTTCCACCAAGACAGGGCCAGAACCTTGTGAAGGGGAAAGGTTCCCCCCAATGACGCCATACTGTGGGGTTTGGAGGTTCCCAAAAGGACTCCCAATATTGGAAAGGGAGGTTCCCCCAGTAAACGAAGACCGTTTAAAATGGAGGTTCCACCATTAACTGCCGAACGTGTGAGTGGGGGTTTCCCACCCAAGGGCCCTGTAGTCCTGTGTGAGTGGGGGTTTCCCCCAAGACTGCCAAAAACGGGTTGTTTGGGGGGTTTCCCCACCAGTGACCCCCCAATACTGTTAAAGGGGAAAGGCCCCACCATGACTGCCATTATTTGAAGGTTTTGGAGGTTTCCACCAGAACTCCCCATCTGTTGAGTGGGGGTTTCCACCATTTAATCCCAAAACTGTGTGAGGGGAGGTTCCCCCCATGACGCCAGTACTGTGGAGTGGGGGTTCCAAAGTGACTGCAAAAATTGTGTGTATTGGGGGTTCCACCATGACTTTTCCTGTTTGAGTGGAGGCCCCCCCCGTGACTAAATCCTGTTAAGTGGGTTCCCCCATTGATTTCCCAAAAATTGGGGTGGTGTAGGCCACCAGTGACTGAAGTAGGGGGGTAGTGGGGGGTTCCACCGTGACTGCCATACGGGAGAGGGGAAAGGTTCCACCAGTACGGAACTGTGTGAGTGGGGGTTAATTCCTTCCAGTATTTGGGGGGCAAAGGTAACTGTGTTGGAGTGGGGGTTTCCCCACTTGACCAGTACTGTGTAAAGGGGAAAGGTTCCACCAAGACTGAGTCCTTTTGGAGGGGAGGCCACCCATAAATGCCAGACTTTTGGAGTGGAGGGTTCCCCCAAAGGGGAACAGCCAATACGGGGAAAAATGGAGGTTCCCCCAGTGACTCCCAATACGGTTGAGTGGGGGTTCCCCAACATGACGCCATAATTTTTGGTGGGGGTTTTCCACCGGGAAAACTGCCAGTACTGGGGGAGGGGAAGGTTTCCCCCCAAATTGAGCCGGGCTGAATATGGAGGGGTTCCCCCCAGGACCCCCAGTACTTTTGAGTGGGGTTTTCCACCAGAACTGCCAGAACGGGTTTTGAGTGGGGGTTTCCACCATAAATTTCCCCAAATTTAAATGATGGAAGGTTCCCCCATGACTGCCAGTACGGTGTGAGTGGGGGTTTTCCCCCATTGATTGCTGGTACGTTGAGTGGGGGGTTCCAAAGGGGCCCAAACCCCCGGGTTTGGGGTGGAGGTTCCAAAGTGACTGAAATCCTGTGGGGGGAAGGTTCCACCATGACTGAGACATTGGGAGTGGGGGTTCCCAAACCGGTGACGGGGCCAGTATGTGTAAGGGGAGGTTTCCCCCAGAGCTGTGAACTGTGTGAGTGGGGGTTCCAAAAGTGTTTTCCCATAATGGGTTTGGTTTGAAATTCACCATTAAATGAAGTCCTGTGTGAGTGGAGGTTCCCCCCAGGGGACTGTAATACTGTGTGATTGGAGGTTCCACCAATGACTGAACCCCCTGTTGATGGAGGTTCCCCAAGACCCAGTACTGGTGAGGGGGAGGTTCCCCCCATGATTTGCCATTTACGGGTTAAATGGGGGGTTCCCCCCAAGGACTGCAAAATACTTTTGAGGGGAATTTCCACCATTGACTGCCAGAACTTTTGGGGAGGGGGGGTTTCCAAACCGGGAAACTGCCAGAACTTGATGAGGGGGGTTTTTCCACCATTGACTGAAAGACTGATGAGTGGAGGTTCCACCAGTGCCCCCCCAGTACGTGGGTGGGGGGTTCCACCAGGACTCCCTTTTTACTGTTTGATGGGGTTCCACCATTTGGGGCCGTGAACCCAGGGAGGGGAGGTTCCACCAGTGACGGGGGCCCCTTACTTTTTGTGGGGTGGATTTTTCCATCAACCCTATTGTTTTTGGGTTGGTTCCCCCAGTGCTAAATTGGGGGGTTTTCCCAAACCGGGGGACTTAAAACTGTGTGAGTGGGGGTTTTCCAAACCAATGACTCCCAAGAACTTGGTGAGTGGGGTTCCACCAGGACTCCCAGTACTGGGGTGATTGAGTTTTCCCCCCATGTTTTCCAGTACTGGGTGAGGGGAGGTTCCCCCAAATGACTGCAATACTGTTGTTTGGAGGTTCCACCAGTGACGCCAGTACTGTGTTAGGGGAGGTTCCACCAAAAAACTGCCAGAACTGATTGAGTGGGGGTTCCCCATGACTGCATTACAGTTGAGTGGAGGTTCCCCCCAAGATTTTTCAGTAGTGTGAGTGGGGGTTTCCACCAGTGCCCTGTAATATTTTGGTGAGGAAAAAGGGTTTTCCCCCAAATCCTCCCAAAAACGGTGTGGTGGAGGTTCCCCACCAAAAAACTGAAATACTGTGTGAGTGGAGGTTCCACCAGGACTCCAGAAACGTGGGGAGGGGAGGTTCCCCCAATGATTGCAAACGTGTGAGTGGAGGTTCCACCATTGACTCCCAAGACTGGGAGTAGGTTCCACCTTTTGACTAATCCTGTGTGAGTGGGGGTTTCCCCCCCCATTGATGAAGATCCGATTGAGGGGGGTTTTCCACCGGGAAACTTCTAGTACTGTGTGGTGGAGGTTCCACCAGTGATTTAAAACCTGTTTGAGTGGAGGCCCCCCACCAGTAAACTCCCAGTATTTGGGGTGAGGGGAAAGGTTCCACCAGTGACGTAGACCTTGTGAGGGGAAAAGGTTCCAATAGGGCCCATACGGGTGGAGTGGGGGTTCCCCTTTGACTGTAAAACCCTGTGTGAGTGGAGGTTAAACCAGTCCTCCCAGTACTGTGTGTTTGGAATTTCCCCACCATGACGTAGACCCCTGGGGTGAGGGGAAAGGCCCCAAACGGGTGACTCCCGGGAACGGGTGTGAGTGGAGGTTCCACCAGTGACTCCAGTAACCCAAATGGGGGTTCCACCAGGGGACGGGGCAAAATATTTGTGTGAGTGGATTTTCCAAACCCAGTGACTGCCAAATGTGTGATTTGGAGGTTCCACCAGGACTCCCTTTAGTACTGTAAAGTGGAGGTTCCACCATTGCCCTGCCAGTACTGTTGAGGGGGAGGTTCCACCATTGACTCCCCATTATTTGTGGTGGGTTTTCCCCCAAATTTGACGCCATACTGATGAATGGGGGTTTTCCACCATGACGGGCCAAAGTACAAAGAGTGGGGTTTTCCCCCCGTGACAGCCATACGGGTTGATGGGGTTCCCCCAATGATTCCCGTACAAAGGGGGAGGGGGTGGGTTCCAAACCATGACTGAAAAACTGTGTGATGGAGGTTCCAAAGTGGACCCCAAAACCCCTGAGAGGGGAAAAGGTTCCACCAGTGACTCCAGTACTGTTTGATTTGGAGGTTCCCCCGGTGACGGGCCAATTGAAAGGGGAAATTTTTCCAATAAAAATTCCCGTCTGTTGTTTTGGAGGTTCCCCAGTGACGCCGGGAAAAGGTGAGTGGGGGTTTATCCCCATAAATTCGGTACTGGGTGAGTGGGGTTCCACCATTACTGTAAATACTGTGTAAAGGGGGTTCCCCCAAAGTGCAAGTCCTGGGAGAGGAGGTTCCCCCAAAGACTGCCATACTGTGTGAGGGGAGGTTCCCCCCCAGACTGCCAGTACTGTGTAAGGGGAGGTTCCCAACCCCAAAAATTTTAAAAACTGTTTTAGGGGGAGGACCCCAGTGACTGCCAGTCCGTGGAATTGGAGGTTCCACCATAACCCCAAAAAACGTGGAGGGGGGTTTTTCCACCAAAGACGAATATTTTGGGGAGGGGAGGTTCCCCCCGGGACTGCCATACTGTGTGAGTGGAGTTCCCCCCATGACTGCAGTAACTGTGGAGGGGAAGGTTTCCCCCCATTGCCTGCCTTAAACTGTGTGAGGGGAAAGGTTCCCCAGGGGCTGAAGTCCTTTTTGTGATTTGGGGGTTTCCCAAAATGATTTGCAAATTCTGTGTGATTGGGGGTTTCCACCGTACCTGAGTCCTGTGTGAGTGGGGGCCCCAAAACACCCGACGTAGTATTCGTAGTGGAATGGGGATTCCACCATGGACTTCCAGTACTGATAAATGGAGGTTCCCCCAAATGACTGCTAAATTGTGTGAGGGGAGGTCCCCCAGTGACTGCCAAAACGTGGAGTGGGGGTTTTCCACCAGTAACTGCCATAGGGTGTGAGTTGGGGGTTTCCCACCAGGGGGGCCCCAAATTACTGTTTTAGTGGGGTCCACCAGTGACTCCATTACAGTGGATTTGGATTTTCCAAACCATGCGCCAGACTGTAGAGTGGGGGGTTTTCCCCCAAGTGACTCCCAAATTCCGTATGAGTGGGGGTTCCACCCTGCCCGTCAGTACTGTTGAGG